TTTTAAGTTTAGAGAATGAAGGTGGGAGCCCCGGGACGATTGGGGCAGTTGTCTTCAACCTCCGGGCAATCCAGACCCACTGCCTGCCGTCCTGCCTCCTCGAGCCGCTCGCAGCATCCATGTGATGCCAGCAAGTGCTGCTATGAGGCAGCGATAGGCAAGGGTTTCGCTCGTCCTTCTCCCTCTGACTCTCATAGCGTCCGTGCGATGCCGTGAGTACAGCTACGATGTACATGGTAGGACGTTTGTGTAACTGGGGTCATAGGCAGAGTTAGGCTAGGCTCTCCTCACGAAATATTCCCCCTCCAGGTAGCGGGTTTTTGTGTCGTTAATAAACTTTAGTTCATTTCTGTGTGTGTGGGTAGAGCCTCGGCGTGGAGTCTGTGATTTTTGTGGGGAGACGGTGTGCATGAGAGGGTGTGCGCGGGGCTGCAGGGTTTCAGCGTGGGGCCCACTTGCTGGCACTCGCGCGCACTTACACAGCGTGTGCATAGTAAAAACAGCCTTAGCGGCGAGGCGTGCACCCAGAGTCCTGCCGCAGCCATCCCGTTTTCGTTATCATTAGCATTGGTACACAGCGGATTAGGGCCTCGCCACGGTACATTCCAAATCCACTCACTCACATGCTCACTCACCCTCATGTAGAACAAGGGGAGTACATTCCAACTCCACTCACACGCTCACTCACCCTCATGCAGAACAAGGGGAGTACATTCCAACTCCACTCACTCACACGCTCACTCACCCTCATGCAGAACAAGGGGAGTACATTCCAACTCCACTCACTCACACGCTCACTCACCCTCATGCAGAACAAGGGGAGTACATTCATACTCCACTCACTCATACGCTCACTCACCCTCATGCAGAACAAGGGGAGTACATTCCAACTCCACTCACTCACACGCTCACTCACCCTCATGCAGAACAAGGGGAGTACATTCCAACTCCACTCACTCACTCACCCTCATGCAGAACAAGGGGAGTACATTCCAACTCCACTCACTCATAAGCTCACTCACCCTCATGCAGAACAAGGGGAGTACATTCCAACTCCACTCACTCACACGCTCACTCACCCTCATGCAGAACAAGGGGAGTACATTCCAACTCCACTCACACGCTCACTCACCCTCATGCAGAACAAGGGGAGTACATGCCAACCCCACCCAAAAAAGCACACGAGTCTGGAATCGATCCCAGACCCATTCTGGTGCACCACTGCCCCCCAATAGAGCGTGATTCAATTATTTCTGTCAATATGTAGCGTTGACTTCGGATGCACCTCATGTAACTCCTGAACCCCGTTAAATCGGTTGCATTGGATTGTTGCAGCCAACTCTCTGGGAACCAGTTCCTTCAACAAAGTGCGGGCTTGCGTGTGGCGGTCTGAGTGTCTGGAGACAACTGGAATTGGACTCTGCGATGCCTGTAATGTGAAGGTTTCTGGTCTTTTTCACAAATGTCCAGCAGGGGCGGATCAAGTTACAACAAGCAATACAATTTTGTTAGGAGTACAAAATAGAAAAAAGTAATGCAAGTCACTAAAAATGTACGAATATAAATATAGTATCTAAGTACAAATTAAATGAGTACATACATGCCTGCCGATGTATCAATACCGAACGCAAGCTAGGGCAAGGCAGTAAAACACCAACAAAACAGTCCCAGACCACACCAAGACAACACGCAGTCATTTAATTAAATGTTCTGATCTGTGTTCTGACTTTACTGCTTCCTAACTTGTATTCTCCTGCAAGAGATGATGACATTCTAACTTGCAACTTTCATCAGCTAGCTGAGACCAGGCCACTGTGGCTTTGAATGGTGTCCTAGATGGACACCCACCACCGGAATGGAAAATCTTACAGATGTCAAGCATATGGTCAGCGGGCAGATCACCTCAACAGTAGGTCCTGGTGTCAAGGACATGGGCTCGCATTCGGTGTTCTGTTACTATATAGTCCAGCAGATGTTCCTGCTTGGACCCAGTGTGCATTCATGATGCTGTGTGGATGCGCCGATGCCGGAACAGCGTGTTGGTAAGCCCAATGTGCTGCATAGAAGTCTAGCAGCCTCCTACCGTTATTATTGAGCTGTTCTGGCCGATGCCTTCCAATCACTCTGGCCCAGGTGCCAGTGTCATGACCCACTCAGGTATTAAAGTCATCCGACAGGATGACTCCATCCCAAGGGGCGACTTTAGCTAGTACTTGTGACAGGTCATAGAAGGCATCTGACTCACCAGCCTTGCCACCATCCCTCCACTGGTGTTAATAGTCGGTTGAGGCGTAAGCAACCACCATTACCATTCCTCGCGTTTTGTTTATGGGAAAGCCAGACCATAGAAGCCTGGGACTTACAGTTTCCTAAACCTCAGCGCCATGCTCCCACACCTGTTGTATATATGCCTCTTCCAAAAAAAATGTTATTGTGTAATATTGTCTATTTTTTATATCATGGCTCCTTGGAGACAAATATGCGTTCCCTGCATGCTGAAGCTTGGGAAAACCAGATGACGAAGCCAAAACAGCACTATAATGAGAAACGGGTAAACATAATACAAGAGACATTGATCAGATGGGCATGATGAGAATAACCAGAGCTGAGGAGGGCCTTAAAGCCGTCGAATATTTCGCTTCTCAGGAATAAACCTAACTCATGTAGCAAAAGGTGAAACGTTAATGAAAGGCCATAAAGGAATAACTCTTCCATGGGCAAGGAGTGACTCAGGGAATTTCTGAGAGAGCAAGGGAGGACCCATGGCAAAACACCATAAACTCACTGCACCCGAGGGCAAACACAGGACAAAGAGATGAGAATGTCCCTTGCTGTTTCACTCTCTGAATTAACAAACCGAGTGCCTGGAAAGTTGAAACGTAAAAATGCCAACCCGCTGCATGTGAATATTGTTAAACGTCATGATTTTAAATGTTAACTTTTGTGAAAGGATACATTGTTACATGACAATACAGAAGGTTTTGAATACGACTAGTTGCATGTTTTATTAACATTCACTTATCAATATGTAATCAGCGTCTCCGACCTGGGTTAAACTTCAGTTGTATTTATTCTCAAGTTGCAGTACAGCACGTGTCTCCCTTCGCGGCTGGCTTCTCTCTTGCTCTCTGGACGGCGGCGCACGCTTTGCCTCCCGCCGCCGTGGCACTCACTCTTTCTCCGCCTCGCCGCTGGCTGACGGCGTGTCGGAGAGAGGGGAGGCTCAGCTGGTGGAGCCCGCCACGTGGCCGATGGGTGGTAGCGCAGGTGGTGACGACGTTCGGACCCGGGCTCTTCACACACCGACGACCCAGAGTCCTCTGCTGCTTCTGCTTATATCCCTCTCGGCGGTGCTAAGCTCTGGCTCTAGCCACGCCCCTCTCGGAACATTCTAGAGGGCTCTCGAGGCTTCCCGCTAGCTCTACCCATTTACCTTTCACCCAGATGGGATCCCCCTTACTGATTAGATGTGAGACAACATAGCACGTGTCTGCAATAACCCCCCGGTCGTCCTGTAGGTGGCGCACTCTCGTTACAAATACATAAGTGCCATGATATCTGGGTTAAGCATATAAACTTGTTAACGATTTATGGAAGTTTTGTATTGAAGTATTCTACCGAAGGATCATCCCTAAGATAAACACGTACAAATTACATATATTCTCCACTCTCACTCACTCTTCTCCTCACCCTCCTCCTGTCACTCACCCTTCTCCTCACGCTCACTCACTCTTCTCCTGTCACTCTTCTCCTGTCACTCACCCTTCTCCTCACTCTCACCATTCTCACTGTCACCCTTCTCCTCACTCACCCTTCTCACTCTCACCCTTCTCCTCACTCTCACTCACCTTCTCCTCACTCTCACTCACCCTTCTCCTGTCACTCACATGTCTCCTCACCCATCTCCCTCGGGGCAGCAGCGGCCCGAGCACGGCTCTGCCTCAGGGCAGCATCGGGGGGCGTACATGTTGGGGAGGGGCTCATCTCTGCTTGGATGGTTGCTCGCGGTCACTTGACACACTTAAACCAATCCGGGGGCATACATGTTTGGGGGGGGCGCACCTCTGGTTGGCTGTTTGCTCGGGGTCACGTGACGCACTTAAACCAATCCGGAGGCGTTAATCACAGTCACAGAATGACAGAAGGACAGATCTGTGATATTATATATGTAGATAAAGAATAGTAATAGCATTTTGCTGTATATGTTTAAAACTGGTTTGCAAGATTGATAGTACGTGATAATGATGATTTCTGCTGAATAATCCATCGTGAAACTATCTAATGCAACAATTCAGAAATGTCAACTCCATGTATTGTTTAGGAATACATTAACATGGCTTTATAATTTAAAATGAGCTGTATGTATCAACAGCTGGTGTTGTTACATATTCAAATATACAACTATATACATTTGGATGTATAAATATATTCCTACTGAATCTATTGTAATGTTTAATGTGAGTCTTTACTAGCTCATTTGGCCCAAAACACTCAAATTATCACTCAAATTCAAAGTTTAATATCGTATGTGCATTTTTTTTATCACCACAGGATTTACTTTTTAAAATCCTGACACTCTGGGATTTGACTATCCTCCGTGGACATGAGTCGTGAAAACAATAAGCTCATTAGAGACTGGTAGAACATGCACACTGAACATTTATTTAAATAAATTTGTGCCACATTTTAAATGTTTTAACCTGAAAACATTTCGAGTGGTACTCCCAAAAGCAATAGAAATAATTAGGATTGGTTTAAAATAAACCAATGTTAACTTCCCTAGCTTCCATAAGACATACCAATACAAACCCTATTGTGCCCTGGTGGATTAAAATGCAGAAAAAAATTAAGATAACAAATTTTAACTGTAAACGCAATCATAAGATTAGCAAATAAATGTCCCATACATTGACCACATTCGCAAACGGAAAACTCACAAACACCGGTGTTTAACTCAAATTACAAGACCGCAAAAAACGCAAGATGACAATCAACGCCACCGCCGCCACCGCCGCCCGTTGTGCCTACTCATTCCAGAAGACCCTGTTGAGGACCTTGTTGACATTTCTGATCAGAGTGGCATTGTATCTCCACAGCGTGAGGTCCACGGCCAGCGAGTCGAGCGGCAAGTCGGGCTGCTCGGGCGATCGGTAGTGGTGCATGATCGCGATGTCTCCAGGCACCATCTGCGAGATGCCCAGCGCGTTGAGCGTACTGTGCACCGACGTCTGCAGCACCGCGCGTGGGTTCAGGATCATCTTGGTCGGGTTGAAGACCTCCGGCAGGTTTGGCTCCCGTCTAATGTGGCGCATGATGTTGACGCCCGGGATGGCGTTCCACGCCTGGAACTTCGACCCAAACTCTTCCGATACCGTGTAGGGAAACACGTGGTTTTCGAATGTGTAAATGTCGGCGCCGTACTTGTCGTTCAAGTACCGCATGAGGTCCTTCCAGTTTGTGTGCTTCAAAGGGATGATCACTTCGTCGATGTCCGTGAGGACCAGGTAGCGCGTGCTGTACATGTGCCGATACACGCAGTCGTTCAGCGCCGCTATCTGGCCATAGTAGTGCAGCTCGCCTGGGTGCTCGGGGTAGTGCCACCCTCTGGACACCCGCACGTAGTCCGTGATGGGCCACTGAACGACCTCGACGAGGCCGGTCTTGATGTAGTAGAGGAGCACTTTGTTCAGCTCAGAGCTGCAGCTTGTGTTGTATACCGTCACGCGGCCCGCACCCAAGATGCGGTACATTTCGATCGCCTGCACGAACTGCAGGACGTTGCCGTAGTTCCCGAAGAGCGTGGAGATGCAGACGCTGAATTCCTGTGTGAAGGTGGGGGGCATGTAGAGCCGATTTCGCACGGGCATGAAGACCCACTCGGCCTCCTCCTCGTCCGGTATTGTGCGCATGCGCTGGACGGACACGTGTCCCGGCTCGCAGTCCAGCGGCTCCGTGCACAGGAAGTCGGCCGTGCCGTACGGGAAGTCAAAGTGATCCGAGTGGACGTAGGCGCTGGCGGTGACCGTCAGGATCTCCGAGTGCCCTCGGCAGCAGAAGTGGCAGGAGAGCACGTCCGGCTCATACCGGTTGGCGATGCCGATGATGCGTGTGCTCTGACCGGCCTCGCGCTGGTCGTGGTACGCCGACACCAAGAATATCTTGGTGTCGCGCACGCGCATCATCGACGTGTTCTGCAGCGCTCCCCGTTGCCCGCACAGTGTCACGTGGTTGATCTTATCGGAAGCAGACCCCGGCTTTGGCCTGAAGACGGACGAGTTGCCGAGTGCATCGAGGTCGCGAACGAGGAAGCCCGTCCAGCTGTACATGTACCAGACGCTCAGCAGCAATGAGACGCTGAGCAGCAGCAGCGAGAGGAACAGGACCGGGAGGCGTAGCTTCATCATCTTTCGAGGCGTGCAAGGAGACAAGACGTCTGGATCAAATCTCTAGACCGCCGTCTCAGGACGAAAAGTCTGATATCGCTCGGCCTGTGATTACATTTACGTAAAAACACACACACAGAGAGCTTCGCGTTAAAAATGCACAACACTTTACACAATTCCATTTCAGGTAAACCTCACAGAAAAACAAAAGCTCTCCAAAATCAAAAGACTGTATTGGCCTCAGGGCGGATATGTACAGGTACAACTCTCTGCAAGTGAATGCAATATTTGACGCTTGTGTTGCGCCCGAAACGTCATGATTTAATTTAGTTTTTATTTTTGTTTTATTTTATTTTTACATACGTGACTTTACCGAAAGAACCAAAGAGTAACCATACGATAACCTGGATATAAGCATGCGTTAAATGTATTACTAAACAATACGCTCCCAGCAGCACTGAGCCTGCAGCTGTCAGAACGGTGAAATTGTTTTTTATTTCTCTCAATTTCAACAGATGATCTAAATAGTCGTGGCCAATAATAATTCGTTTTACGCAAACATCAACATATTTCTTTGGTGTTATTTTAGTCTTAATACTGGCCAATACTAATTATAAAATCTATTGAAATTGAGAGAAATACAAAATATTGTCAACCAATTACACAGCCACCACCACAACCAGAGCCGCAACCACCACCACCACAGCCACCACCACCACCACAACCAGAGCCACCACCACCACAGCCACCACAACCACCACCACCACAGCCACCACCACAACCACCACCACAGCCACCACCACAGCCACCACAGCCACCACCACCACAGCCACCACCACAGCCACCACCACAGCCACCACCACCACCACCATAGCCACCACCACAGCCACCACAACCACCACCACCACAGCCACCACAGCCACCACCACAACCACCACAGCCACCACCACAGCCACCACAACCACCACCACAGCCACCACCACAGCCACCACAACCACCACAACCACCACCATAGCCACCACAACCACCACCACCACAACCAGAGCCACAACCACCACCACCACCACAACCACCACCATAGCCACCACAACCACCACCATAGCCACCACCACCACAACCACTACAACCACCACTACCACAACCACCACCATAGCCACCACAACCACCACCACAACCACTACAACCACCACTACCACAACCACCACCATAGCCACCACAACCACTACAACCACCACCACAACCACCATCATAGCCACCACTAACACGACCCCAGGCCGCCACCACCGCACCTGCCAGTCGAGGGCGCTGTGCTCCTGCTGCTGCTGTTCCTCTCCGTAGAAGCGCCGCTTCGCGTCGCCCTTCGGCTCGCACGCGAAGCTCAATGCAGCCCGCGGGCACCGGCGGCAGCAGCAGCACAGAGGGCAGCAGCAGTAGCAGAGGGCAGCAGTAGCAGAGGGCAGCAGTACAGAGGGCAGCAGCAGCAGAGGGCAGCAGTAGCAGAGGGCAGCAGCAGCAGCACAGAGGGCAGCAGCAGCAGAGGGCAGCAGTAGCAGAGGGCAGCAGTAGCAACAGAGGGCAGCAGCACAGAGGGCAGCAGCAGCAGAGGGCAGCAGCAGTAGCAGCAGAGGGCAGCAGCAGTAGCAGCAGCAGTAGCAGCAGCAGAGGGCAGCACCAACAGAGGGCAGCAGCAGCAGCAGAGGGCAGCAGCAGTAGCAGAGGGCAGCAGCAGAGGGAAGGGCCGTACCCGATTCAAGAGCTGAATGGCTCACAGGGTTATACCAAATACATGGAACTGAACTGGGCCGCGTTGCCGCCAGCACCACGTGCTTCCTGCTGACCTCTGCCCCTACCGCGCGCTTCCTGCTGACCTCTGACCCCGCCGCGCGCTTCCTGCCGACCTCTGACCCCGCGCTTGAACCACGACCCCGCCGATCTATGGCTGATTGTGTTACGTTATATAAAACATAAATATACCATATACACTTCGTATTCACAATGTACAGCTAAAGTTGACAGTGTAAATGTATTACAATATTCTTGGTTCTTTGCGGTAAAGTCAGGAAGATAGAAAATAAAAATAATAAAATAACATTTTCAAATAAAAATAATAAATTGAACATTAAAAATAATAAAATCATAAAAGCGATGGTTTCTGCCTGTAAATTTTGCGTGCAAACAGTTGCTGAGTAGAGGCCCAACGCGCGAGGCGGCCAGGCACAAACAGCACTCTGATGGGAGCTGTGGTTGATGGGAGTGGAACGCGGTTCTTGATCTGAGCCAGAGTCATGATTTGTTGTACGTGCACGTGTGACATTCAAGGCAGGGGTAAGCCTGTGGTCACAATCCTGCCTTGTGCTCAAAATGTCAATGAGCCAGCAACAAACAGTGCACTAGAAGATGCAAAAAGAGAAGCGTCAACACACTTCCTGCAATAAGCAAGGTAATAAGAACTTAAGAAAAGTGACGAGGGGTATTTTATGTTTATATTTGGTGTTTGCAGTTTCTCCCCGTGGTCCGGTTTTCCCTCCGCATTTTTGAAACATGCATTTGGAATATTTGGCTGCTATAAATGTCCACCACACACAACATAAGCACACTTCGCTGAGCTATAATGTGTGGCCAGGTTGCTCGCTTCTGACAAAAATATCTGCCTGTGTGTAGCTCAGTGGGGCCTTTCCTGGTGAAATTAAAAATAGTTCAGAGTTTCGTTTTTAGTTTATTTCAAAGTCGAGCAGTGGGAGGAAAGAAGGAGAGAAAGAGAGGACTGCAAAAATTGGCTGACTGTGATGACTTGTGGGGCTCAACATAAAAAAATCGTGTTCTTGGTGACAGAACGCCTCGAGGGCGTGTGACCAATTTTCTCGGAATGCACCAGGTCATCAAAACACTCAGAAGCTAAGCAGGTTTGAGCCCGGCTAGTGCATGGATGAGTAACCACCGTGTACAAGAGGGCTGTGGTAGGAGAAGGCAGTACAGGAAAGTTAATTGTTGTAGCGTTCTTCTACGCTTCCACTTCATACGCACCCCCATTCTCACCAACCCGCACTGACCGGCGCGATGAAATGTGTTCAAATAACGCACACGGACCGCTCGGCATGGGGAGGCATTCATCCCGCAGTTGATCGACGTAAAAGAACAGCGGATTAACATGATGGGGGCAGAGAGAGAGAGAGAGAAGTTGGTGTTGGAAAAAATGTTTCAGAGTAAAGCCAGAAGTGAGCACCACAGTGTGTTGAGGAGCACACTACCTGCCACTGCTGACGTAAACATTCCATTTCTAACCACAGCGGGACCGCCAAGTCCATTGGAGAGATTGCTGAGATTTGCTTTCATAGACGTTCTTCAGCTCCTCAAACGTGACTAAAACAACGGTCTCTTAGAGATGATGCACTGATTCATGTTGAATTATTAACCTCACGATGCATCATCGTGTGTGCGTGCACATGTAAGAATAATATTTGTTTTGGTGAAATCGTATACGTATGTTGCATGTCATGGGATCGTGTAACCCTCGCAGCAGCCACTAGTGGCCGATACATTCACCGCAATTTTATATATAAAAGAAGAATGGATTATTTAATCAATTCGCGACCCTGAATTGTGACAATTCATTGAAATTGCCTGGTGAGTTGGGATGGGGGCAGAGGGTTGGGGGATACACCACGGAATAAATGTTTGCTTTCTAACCTTAGGCCTTCACCCAGCAGTGGATCGATCATAGCTGCTGATGACGGTGTAGTAAATGTGGCTTTGGGAAGTACGACAAGGACTCAACAGTACCGTGGAACTTGTGCTGTGTAAGACATTACATTCATAATCATTGTAAACATCCTGCATGTGTGTTCCGTGTATACATGGTACTGTGTTTGCGCACACACATCGTGTACGTGGCGACATGGACACCGTGGAATATTGAGGAGAGTTGTAAATAAAGCGGTGTTCGAAGAAAGACAAAAGTTGTCCGAGTGAAATCGAACGCTACATATCTACCCGATCCAAATTCACATTGGTCCGGTGGATCTTTGCACCGCTTACCATATATACGCGTAAACATATACAAAGCATTTACAAAAAAATATTGAAGGTACAATTCACGCACGCGTAAATATGCACATGGAAATAAAATGGTCCGCACCTAGAGAATAAAATGTTTCTTGCCAAAATAATCCTGCGGACCCACCCGAAGTGAGACCTGGGCTGGAGGGCCCACCGTGGGCTCCCTGGATGCGCTGAATGGAGCTCTCCTGCGCGTCTCACTTCATTTTGATTCATTCTTGCTCCAAAGGTTTCATTGACTTGCGACGGACGCCTTTTAAGGGACGTACGAAAGGCGTGCCCGTTGTGTAGATCAGGAAGCCGATTCACTGGAGGAGCGGCGCTTGACGTCACCTTGCGGGTGCCCCTTTCTCTGACGCGGGGCCACGCGCCACGCGTTGCCGTGACGTCGATAACACAAACGGCGTGAAATAAGGGAAAACAACAGCAAAGGTGGCAAACAAAATAAACGTTCTGATATTATTTTAATGTGACCATCACTAAGGGATTCGGGTACGACGGTGTTTCACCTTATTAGTTGGCTGTGTCGGGTGGTAGTGGGTTTAACGACACATTTTAATATTTCCGCGATCTAAACCACACACCTCTGTTATGGATGAACTGCTTCGTTTTGCAAGTCGTCAGACTGGACGAAACGTTTGCGTTTCGTCCAGTCTGACAGGGTGACTGTAGCTGTGACACACAGCTACAGTTAGCCTGTGTAACACACAGCTACAGTCACCCTGTGTGACACACAGCTACAGTCACCCTGTGTGACACACAGCTACAGTCACGTGACACACAGTTACAGTCACCCTGTGTGACACACAGCTACAGTCACGTGACACACAGCTACAGTCACCCTGTGTCACACTGCTAGTCACCCTGTGTGTCACACTGCTACAGTCACCCTGTGTGAATTGTCTTGCAATTAACGTCAAGCTGCAAACGTTTCGTCCACTCTGACGACTTGCAAAACGATGCAG